TTGAACATCTGACCACATTGAAGTTGCTAGTGATATTGAGCATGGGCATTCCATGAAAATATCTGTTTGTATTTGTTAGAGCATCCATTAATTTTTTTTTTTTAAATTTGGATAGAAATGTTTTATACTTAATATTAATCAGCATTGTTCTGGGACTTGAATTCATGCATCTTTTCTTTAAAAAAAATATCTGTCAGTTAGACTTGATGATTTGCTACGGAGTGTCAAAAAAGCGCTTCCACTCTGTCTTTCTTTAGACAGTTTACTCAGTGCCCAGGTTTAGCAGCCATCAAACATTATTAAAGACATGTGTGATTTTGTCCAGCCAACTTCTTTCACCATGGATTCTATTGAATCTGTTATTTATCTCTTCAAACCTGAGACTTGAGCTTTATAGCTCTCTTCTGCCCACATACATCACAGGTAGCACTGCATGGGTGTAAGAGGAGTCGGTTTCATTTAGCTTATTTATTCTGAAATATTAGTCACAAATGGAATAGGGTGTTAGAGAAGCCTTTTTTTTTGGTTTCATTTCACTTATTCTGAAATTATATTCACAATTGGAATGAGGATACATAATTAAATGGTACTTATCTATTTTGAGATCAAATCTTTATTATTTAACAATGAAGCTCAACATCTACAGGATCTAGGATCCCCAGGAATAACTAATGGTTTAAAGTGAAATGGTTCAGTGGCATGTTAAACAGTTCTAGTGCCTGTTATGAAGCTAACTCCACGACCATACTCTTTAATTACTCTCATATGTGACACTAATACTCTTTTATATAATACTGTGAAATGGGGAAGGGACAGTTGTTAAAGTATTTTTTAAAGACTCTGGAAAATTTCTTCAAAATACCATTGTGAAAAAAAAAAATTCTGTGTATTTACATTTTTTTTGGTTACTGTTGCCATTCTCTGTTGAACTTAACAGTATGAGTTAACAAAAACAAAATTTAGAAACTTAAAAACAGATTTTATTTCCCCCCCCCCCTCTTTTTTTTTTTTCTTTCTAAAATTACTTTGGTAGATGCTTTCTATTTCCTGATTTCTACACTTGATATGATTGGCTTCTGATCTGTATCCTTGCCTGGGATATGGATTATTTCTTGCACTTCTATGTACATTAATGATTAGTGCAAACGTCTGAGGCTTATAGTACCTTAATACCTATCCATTCTAAATTTTTTTAGATGTAACAGTGGAGCACTCTAAATCCCTTCACATATCCCTTAGTCTATTGGGGCAACACATAAGATTTGCCTCCTAAATTTCTCCTAAATCCCAAACTTTCCAAATCTCAATACTCAACACAGGACAGCATTTGTTGACTGTTTTTAATGATGCAACTACTATCTTATATTGAAGTTGAAGTCTGTTTCTAGCCAGTCTCAGTAATTACTGTTTTCAGATGGCACCTGTTTTAGCAGAAAAATTTTATTAACAAATAGTTCCTATTAGCTGATATATTAATTTTTTTTTTTAAAGATTTAAATTCTATAATAAAAAGTTATTTTGAATACATAATAGTAAGAATAAACAAATATGTCACACTTTTATAACTTGGTCATTCAAGGATTATACTTTCTGCTCAGTTATGTTATCACTTTCTTCCCAGAAATCATGTGTGCTACACTCATTTTAAGTATTACTCTGCTTTGCCCAATAGAAATACATTTGTTAAGATTTTAGTCTAAATCTATTTGTGCAATGTAGAATGAGAAGTGACTTCCTGTTTGAGGCTGTACTTTGAAAACAATGATTTTATTCTCAAAGAATGCATAATCTGTACAATTGGCTGTGATAGCGATAGAGTGACTGGAATTTTAGTTTCATATTTGAATTTTAGTTTCATATTTGAATTTTAGTTTTACATTGAATGTTACTTTTACATTTTGTTCTGATTTTTAGAATGTGATTTTTTTTTAAATTTTTTTTTTGTGATTGGAAAAGATTGAAATATAAAAAAAAAAAACTCAAATTCTTTTTTTTTTTTTAAATCAAAGTTTTGCATGTTGTCCTTTTATTTATTTCCCCCCTCCCCCAATTATTTAGAAAATCACAAAGCTATGAATAGTAAGTCATCTGATGCTGCAGGGATTGACATAAAGAAAATGTTAATTTTGTGATGTAGTTATTTATTATTTTTGGGGGGGGCTTTTATGAGAGAAATCATTTTAAATTACTACAGTCAAGCCTCACTATATTGTATTTTATGCAATATTTAGTTTTTTATAACCTTCTTCAACTCCTTTAGCTTAGTTGTAAATGAAACATTTGAAGTGATTTTCTTTAGGTTTGAGAAGGTGGGACTAAGGTGTTAAGGCTAGACCATAGTGTATTAGCTACTGAACCAGTATTAAAGTACTTTGTGGATCCAAATATTTATAGAGCGTGGGGCTAGTTCAATCGTTCATCACCAAGCAAACATTGTCTTTCTACCCTGGAGTCAAAACAACCCTTGTATTTATGATTGTCTGTGATGGCATGCCAGTACTTCTATTTTGTTCTATTTGGTTCACTCATTATTTTATTTCTAATTCTGTTGCCATAATGACCAGTTTGATTCCTGTCTAGTAACTCGAGTGTATATATTTGTTTGAACTGATAATATATCAGAACAGTACTTTTTTTTTTTTTTAAATGTTGAATTCAAAACTTTCTTACCTTTTTTTTTAAATTGGAAATATTTGTAACATCCTAGCATAGCTACCATCAGAATTTTTTGATAGAAGAGGATTTTTCACTAGTTAATTGTAGACTTGTTAAAGTGAAACTCAAGTTTTACTCTGTTTTTATATTTCCAAAAATGTGCATCATTTTTTACAAATAATTTCAATTACTAGTTCCACATTATCCTTTTCTTTTTTTCTTCATTGATTTAATTTATTTTGTATTTGACTTTATTTGGTATCAGATTTTTTAGCATGGAATCTAGTCTTTTTATTTGTGAATATTCCAACACAAGTGGACACACTAATGTTGGCTTATTTAATGATATTTTTGTTTCTATTTACTTTGGTACAAATGGAAATCAAGTGTGTGTGTGGGATTTTTTTTTATTTCCACTAAGACCAGACGTATTTAGCTTGGCCTAAACAGTAGAAACTAATCTATTTCATTGAAATATCACTGTTGCATACTTTGTTTTTTCCATGGACTAAAATACAAATGCAGTGTAGTTCCTATAGTCCAACATGATTGGGACCGGAACCATTATGGATTAAGTAAAATTATTACTAAACATAACCATGAAATACAATGCATACATAAACTGGTACAGGATATATATTTCATGTCTGAAACTAAAAAATTCTGTGAATGAAGTGCTTGACAATGGAAAGAAATGTTTCTTGTACAGTACTCAAGTAGTTTTTTATATTACTGGATCAGATTTACAAAAAAAACAGTATCGTACTGTTGCAGCCATGCAATTTATCTCACTTCACTGAATAATTTTAACAAACCATTCCTGGAACTATTTTCCACAAGTTTCCAAGAATTTTAATTTATTAAAACAGTATTCTAGTTGACTGACTTAAGTTACTGTACAGTTTATACTATGTACAGAACTAAAAAAAGCAATTTACTGTGTATCATAAATGCTAAAAATAAAACAATTCAGTTTAGAAGCCCATATAACAGTTCTGTTATGTTCAGGACACTGTCTATCTTTCAAATGTACTGTCATTTTTAGCATATAATACACTTTTTCTTTCTTACTTTCTCTTAGTCCTTCCTAAAAATATCGGAGTTTGGATTTAGCAGACTTTTGGATTATTGGGACTCCACTGCATTTGCCAACACATGACTAAAAAAAAAACTATTACTACTAACCAGACAAAAAAATAAATATATTAACTATTTTGAATTTTTTGAATTTTTTTTGCTTTTGTCTATTGTGTCAGAACTTGAGTAAATCTGTAGCGTTTCCCTTTTTTTGGTTGGAAAGTGCTTTCCTATGTACCGGGTACACAAAAAGGAGCCATTTTTTGTTTACATGGATGTTGCTTTCACACTGAACTGTAAATTTCAAAATTATTTCTAAATTTAGTTGAACTTGTATTGGGATGACAGAAATGATATTGGCATTACGTCCAACTATGGTTGTTGCTATGTGATCTCATAGAAAAACATCTTAGCCCGTAAGGAGTGGGCATTTTATCAGGAAACACGTATATACATTTTTTTTGTTAATGTCTACTACTTTATGACTAATCTTCTTTATTTATTGCCTCCCCAGGCATTCACAGTTAACATTCCTGTGGGGAGTTTCTCTCTTATATTGTTCATGGTTTAATGACAAAAAAGTAGATGTTGCCACTATGTACTGTAGTCCCACATGAGCATATAAGTCATTTTTGTGTTGAAACAACTTGATGTAGATATGTCTGCGTGTGTGACATTTGTATGTCTCAGCCAGAAACTTTTTTCTTCATTTCTAGGGGACTTGTATCACCGCTGATTAAGTACATTTTAAGGTTACCTTGTTACTCTGCCTCTTTGTTTGTGTGTGTGTCTGTTGACAGTGTTGTAGTGTATTTCAAACTCTTGATGTTTCCTGTTGGTCTTAAAGAGAACAAAGAGCTACATTACTGAGGACATTAAGAGTGACAGTGTTGAATTTCATTTATATTTTTATCTTGCTGATGTACCAACAGATTTATCTGGCTTAATTTTATCAAATCTTTTATCTCAACCTAGCAGGCCTGATACATTTCTGTCAATGATCAAATGTTATCAATGAGTCCTGAAGTCTTTTTCAGTAGATATTCAGATTACAAATGAGAGATATTTATATTGCATATACACAGAAAGTGGGCAGTTTACTGATGACTCTTATACATTTTGTATTTAGTCTATTCTATTGTTCCTAATTTTTGTTTATTTCGCTACCACTAATTTGAACATTCACTTTCAAAATGTGGAGTTTTTGTGTATAGATGATCTTTAAGATAGCATCTGATTTTGTTTTTGGTTGTTTAATGTTTACATGTGGTTACTTTTCATAAAGGATGAATGTGAGTGTTGATGACTGTATTCACTATTCATCTCTTGTATTACATAGTATTATGTCAAGACTCTACAAAACAAAACTACAAAAATAGAAGTTAGATATTTAACTAAAAAGTTGATTGTTACAATTCAGAAAATGTATATTTTACAATGTTTTCATTATTCATATTTTAGATACTAAGCTAAAGTAAAATGCATTTAATGAATGAATGCCTGGCATTCCCTAATACTCATCTATGAATGAAAAAGTCTCTGTTGATTCACTGGCATTATGAAGTTGTTAGTTCTAGGTTAATAATAACAGAGATGAAAAACTTCCAATATGTTATGTTTTAGTATCACCTGTGCTGTATTATTTATCATGCTTTAAAGTGTATGTCCAGTTTTATTACAAACAAGAACGTGAAGGACTGTGTCCTCATACAATAAACTGTGAAAAAAAAAATCTTGTTGATTTCATTTGATTTTAGGCACATCTGCACAATTTAGGCCATGTCGTGCCTGAAATCTGGTTGTCTAATTGCTAGAAAGTTGTGTGAGACTGGGCTGCTAGGTCTTGAGTCTTCTTATCTTATCTTATATAATACAGATGTTACTTCAAAAAAGAAGATGATTACTGTGATGTACTTGTTCAGGCTGTCTTGAGGTCAACTATAGATGACTGTTTGAATTTCAATCAATTACTCTGCAAGCGTTTGAGTTTTATTGTTCGAGTGTATTCAATGTAGTTGATCAACAATACAGAAAAACAAGACGATCGATTTAACGAGTAGAGAGATGTGGTCAACACTGATGAACAGTTCATTATATATTTATTCCAATAAAAGGCCACAGTAAAAGTCTCTGTCAAATAAAAACGTCTTTACCCTAGAGAATTCTATCGCTAACTGACTTCCAGTCTCTAACCCAAAATATCCCAAACGTCACTAGTTCTGTTCAATATACGTCTTCTATGGTGAGTCGCTAAATAACTAATACTATAAACAAGGTGTCTAACATTACATCCTACGCGTTATGCATTTAGTCATGCATATTAACCAATGACTTAAATTCTGCCAAGTCACTGGTTTTCCTGGCTAGCTCAGGCAACCCATTCCATGCTCTAATAGCACTAGGGAAGAGTACACAAAGTAGCTAATATATATAATCTATTTCTAAGTTACCACTGACTCATTGATCAAGGGATCTCTTAAACTGTTGTACTGATCAGCAAGAAATTAGGTACACAGGTTCCTTATACCTCCTAGGAGCTTGCTAAGAATGGGTTTGACAGATTTGCAACTTCATCATCATTATTCACAAAAAAAATGCAGCCTTTGTATTCTATTTTCAGTATTTCCCCAAAAGACCAGTCTATATAATATATAAAGCATCAAAAATAGATATCACACAAATTCCAAATTTTTAAAGCAATTTTTTTCCTAAGTCTACTTATTTTTAATATGCCTTACATCATTTCCGCTTCTTTTTAGACACGGTCTAAATAAAAACAAAACTAATCCAAATAGCATTAAAAAAGATAGGTCTAGATTCTTTTTCTTATAATTAAAGAATGTAGATAAAAAGTTTAAACTATATCAGATGCTATATAAAGTATTGATAATTAGAATCTGAAAAGTGTGGTGATCAGAGGATCCTTTTAGATGCTGGCTAATAGCATTTTTTTAAGATAAATCTAGATCTATTGTCATTTTGCTACACTCAAAAGGTGTCAAATAAATGATTACAAAAATAAAACCAAATTGATTTTTATTTAGAGAAAAAATATCAAAATAAATATAGAATGGGGAACTTATGGCATTCAATTATGACCTCGTAAAATGTATTTTTTTTTCCTCTAGGCCTGAAACTAATGGTATGAAGAAATGTATGTGGTGTCTAATACTGTATATTGCTTGCTTTAAGATTAAAAGCTGCAAAAAAAAAAAATAATAATCAAAGGGGGGAGGGGTCATGGTCAACTACATAATCCATATTTAATTGAGAAGCTGAAGAAAATACTTATAAGAGTGTAAGAAAGACTTTTTGTTGTTAGCGAGAGAGAAGGAAAGAGAGCAGGCCATGAAATGTTTTTGTAACTGATACACTAATTCAGTGGCTAAAAAAAGTATGTTAGGTCGATTGTTAAAATGTTCATTTATTAAAATTAGAAAAAAAGAATGGGGGTGTTCCTAACTAAACAATATAAATGGGAACAAGTCAATAGGTGTACTGCTAGTATATATATATATATATATATATAACAGAAAATCCAGAAGCAAGTCAAATACTTTTTAATATTTTAAAACATAGTGAAGAAATACAACAAAGACAAGTACAACACTAGCAATAGGTCAGAACTGAATTAGTTGTAGCAGCTAGCTAACATACAGCAAGAATTGAGTTAAACTACGTAACATTTTCAACAGATCAAGTTTTGTCAAAACATTTGTTCAACTAATGTAGCCAATGTGAGTTTAAGCACAAGATTTTTTTTTAAACCTAAAGAGCAAAAAAAAATGTTTGTTGAACCTTGAGACTTCGACATATAAATGTTTTGGAACGTTACCATGAAAAATATGCTATAAATTCCTTCCGCAAGTGTTTTTATGAGTAACGTAAGTGAACTATCTCTTGATGTTTCAAGGTGAAACTCTTCAAGTTTAGACTCTTTAGTTCTATTAACTTTCTTTTTATTTGTCTATAAAATTCTATTCAGCTGTCATCCCACTGCTACAAAACTTGTTGCTCTACATTTGTTCTATATATAGCTGTGGATTAAAATTCAGGACATTTGACTAGACTTCACATAACTCATACATCTATTGTAGAAGAAATATATATATACATCTCAGTGCTAAGTCTATGTGATTTAAATTACATTACAAAAAGTTTTGTAAAGGATTGAAATGATTGCATTCTTTTTTTTTTTTGTATTGTTCATAATTTAGCAAAATTGTTGCAATCTAACACTAACACATAAGCCTTACTTATAGACACATTGACTACAAACTACAAACATAATCATTAGACTATAACAATTAAAACACATAGAATACTTGTGACTTTGCTACTAGCCAAACAACCTACACTCTATACAAGAGCAATTATTATTTGAACATGCAATCACCAGATGTTTTTTTGTAATGAACATATTTCTACAATCAAAGAAATATATGTACTGAACTTATTTTTGTATTATTCATAATATGTATATATATAGATAAACTATTTACATTTTTAAAAGGCTCAACTAGTATATAGAGTAGTACAAAAGAATCCAATGTTCTACCAAATGGAATATACAGAAACACTGTATTGCAATAATACTATTATGCCTGATACAATTGTGTGTCGAATGGCACAGGTTCATTCACTAGTCTGGGACACCCTTGTAGTAAGTGCTAGTACTCACAAACTATTCTATTCAAAGTGAACATTTTTCCACAATGTTAATTTTTTAAAGCATTAGTACATTGATATTTGAATGTTTTTTTTTTTAAATGTTGACATTGACGAATAAAATTATCCAGATAGAGTATTTTTTTTTTATTATAGAAAACTAGAAAAGAGGACATGTAATAAAAGGAATATACTTCATTTAAAACTCTAAATTAATAATTTTTCAAAATTCTATAATTCCCTTAAACTGAATAAAAAAAAACAATATACAAAAAAAATTAAAATAATTTTATTTTATTACCACTTTCGGGGGTGTTTTTTTTTTTTTTTCCTCAAAATCATGGCAGATAATTTGGTTGATTTTCATTGCAAAAATATGTGTGTCACAGCTGGGGCTGGGTAACCATGGAAAATACACCATTCCTCAATAATCTTCAGACTCGAAGACAAGCTTTATTATTATTATTATAGTCTTATGTAAATTTTCTGCATGCAACAAAACTGTTATAAGACTTATTTTTGTTTCTTTGTCTCCAAGCATGACTTAAACAGCAATTTCAATTTTGCAAAATAAATAATTTTTAAAATCCTTCTATAAAGAATTACTTGAATACTGAATTCGACTTAAAACTGATACAGCAAATGTAATTAAATGAATAGTCTACAAAGTATGTAAAAAAAATTTTTTAAGAAACTTTGTACAAACTAGAAACAAGGAAATGTATCCAAGAAACAGAATGCTGACAAACACTAAAGGAAATGATAAATCCAAGCAATGTTGTTGTACAGCACAGGACAGTTCAAAATATTAGTTCCAACAAAACAAAACTCTACTTTACAAGATTGTCACTCAACACATGACAAAAATGACTCAACATTTAGCCAACTGTCCAAATAGGTTTAAAAAAAAAAAAGAAGACCAAAACAAAATGATCTTTTCCATTTGGCTCCCCCCCACCCCCCTTAGTCTCCTGACATAACTTGTTTCTGATATAGTTTTGGAGCTACCGGGTGCAAGGCAAAGATTGGAAAGAGTGCACAGAAAAGCCTTCTACTACTTGGGGCTAGAGTTCAAATCAATTCTAATGGTAATAATAGTTTTGTTGATATCATTTTGCTTATCAGCAATTATCAGAGTAAACAAGTAAAATTAGTGTAACCAAAACAGTATACAATAAATTGTAGCACTTTGTCATATTAAAAAAAAAATTTAAAAACATAAAATACTGAACAAAAACAACATTTTTTGTTAGATGCCCAGGGTTCCAAACTACAAAAATAATTAAATATAAACAAAACAATAATCAATAAATATTTTCGATGATGTGTCTTAGTCTATTATATTTGGAATGGTAATCATGGCAATGTTAAAATAAACTAAATTCATTGTATGTTTAGTTGCTAGTACTTTATGTAATTTGTTAACAATAATGTATAAGCTACATTGAAATTAACTTATCATACTTTGTTAAAATAACACATTTGTTTGACAGACATGTTCCTTTAGAATTAAAGATAATTACATCTTGCCCAAACCTCCTGCAGAATAGCAGGGGATGGCAGCAGGCAGAGTTCAAACCCAGGAACATCAAGACAACAGTCCAGAGCACATACAACACAACCAGGTAGCCATTCATAACAGGAACATTCAATGTCATACAATTTACCTCATGTTTATAAGTATAACCAAGCATTTTTAATGCATCATTGGCTTGGTTCATTATAATTTATGATACATTGGCACTAATGAGACCAAATTCAGTATTAAGGAGCTTGTCCATGACTAAAAAAAAATGCATAGTATTAAATAATTTGATTGCCATGGGAACAATGAATTGTTTTGTGATCAGTGTCTTGCATCTTCTCTGTGCTAGTCAAATGTTAAAATCGTTACCCAAAAAGTGCTTTTTTCCCCCACCTTTAAAAACATTTTAGCTTTCTTAATAATGTGATACTAAAAGCTACACTGCAGACTGTTAAGCAGTAAGCTAGATTTGATGCAATAGTCAATCTACCTACACAGCAGTATGCTGATTTTTTAAAACTCTATAAAGTCTTTCTTAT